TGATAGCCTATACTGGAGAGGATGTGGAGTGAGGGGAACACTCATCCATTGTTGGTGGGAATGCAAACTTGTATAGCCGCTGTGGAAATCAGTGTGGCGGTTTCTCAGGAAACTGGGAGTCAACCTCCCTCAGGACCCAGCAATTCCACTCTTGGGAATATACCCAAGAGATGTCCTATCATACTACAAAAGTATTTGTTCAACTATGTTCATAGCTGCACTCTTTGTAATAGCCAGAAAATGGAAACAACCTAGGTGCCCCTCAATAGAAGAATGGGTAAAAAAGGTGTGGAACATATACACATTAGAGTTTTACTCAGCGGTAAAAAACAATGACATCTTGAATTTTGCATGCAAATGGATGGAAATAGAAAACGCTTTACTGAGTGAGGTAACCCAGTCCCAAAAAGAGGAATATGGTATGTACTCACTCATAAGTGGATTCTAGCCAAAGTTAAAGGTCTTTGAGTCTATAATTTGTGATCCTAGAGAAGCTAAATAAGAAGGTGAACCTGAAGAAAATCATATAGTTATCCTCCTGGATATTAGAAGTAGGCAAGATTGCCAGGCAAACTTGGGTGCATGGGGGTGGGGGAGTGGAAGTAAGGGGAGATGGTTAGGGAGGGGGGGAGGATTGGGGATGGCTTGGGGGAATGGGAGGGGGGAGGGAGGAAGGATGGTTATGGGAGCAGGGAAGTTTATATCTCAACTAAGGGAGCCATTTTAGGGTTTCAAGAGACTTGATTCTGGAGGGGTTCCCAGGCCCAAGGAGAGGTCCTCAGATTGTACTCTGGGCAGCAGAGGAGAGGATGCCCGAACTGGCCTTGGCCCATAACCATATTGATGAATATTTTGCATGTCACCACGGAACCTTCATATGGCGATGGATGGAGATAGAGACAGAGACACATATTGGAACACTGGACCTAACTCCCTAGGTCCAAATGAGAAGCAGAGGGAGGGAGATCGTGAGCAAGGAAAGCAAAATCAGAGGGGGCCTTCATCCGACGATGGATGGAGATAGAGACGGAGACCCATATTGGAGCACTGGAAGTCAAGACCGCGAAGGGTGCGTTCACCCACTGATACAAGGGGACTGATCGAATGAGAGCTCACCAAGGCCAGCTGGACTGGGTATGAACGAGCATTTGATCAAACTGGATTCTCTGAATGTGGCTGACATGGGGGCTGACTGAGCCCCCGAGGTCCAAATGAAGACTGAGAAGCCATGGACAATGGCACTGGGTCTTGTTTTGTCTGCATGGACTGGCTTTTTGGGATCCTGGCCTGTTTGGATGCTCACCTTTCTGGACCTGGAGGGAGAGGGGAGGAACTTGGATTTCCCACAGGGCAGGAAACCCTGACTACTCTTGGGAATGGTGAGGGAGGAGGAGAGGGAGTGGGGGGACCAGGAGGGTATTGGTAGGAGGGGAGGAAGTGGAAAGAGTGTTTTCGGATACTTGAATAAACAAGTCTAACGGAAAAAAAAGAAAAAACAAAACAAAACAAAACACAGATGACAACTGAGATTACTATACCCAGCAAAATTATCAGCCATAATTGGGGGAGAAAAAACTTTCCATGATATAAGGGTGCTAAAAAACTAGCCCCACAGAGAATACTGGAAGCAATACTTCAAATGAAGAGACAATTATGCATTTAAAAGGGTAAAGAAAATGCCTACCAAAGGAATTGAATGAAAATACATACAGAGACCCACAACAGTCAATCCTAAATGGGATATCTTCATCACAACCTTCTGGTCAGGATTCAGTGAACCATGAAGTAGAGGAGGCAGAAAGACTCTAAGAGCCTAGATGAACAAAGGCACAAAGGAATCAAGGCCCTCTAAACACAGCAGGAGTGACATACATGTGAACTCAGAGACTGTGCTAGCAAGCACAGGGCCTGCATGGTTCTGCACCAGATGAAGTTCTAGCTGAGAACTTCATGTACATGAGCCCACATCCCTAAACCAGAAGCTATCTTCAGTTGATAATCACTCACAAATGAAAAATAGTTCTCTCCACAATGGAGACTCCCTGGGGATATAAACCATTCTTAAGGCTAGGCCCATGCTCAACAGTAGATTGCCAATACGAAATAAACTAAATGGCACCTTTGGAGGTTCTTTGTCTCATAATGTTGTCTTGGGAAATTTATCTATTTTATTTATATTTTTAACCATATATATAAAATGTCTTCTAGCTTTGTGTTTAGAGTATATAAACACGTGTGTCTACTTATAGGTATTTTTCATGTTTTTTTTCTTTGGCTAATTTTCTTCTGTTTGTTTGCTTTGTCTTATTATGGCTTCCTCTTTTTCAGTTTTTGAGACAGGATTTCTCTGTAGCTTTGGTGCCTGTCTTAGAACTAGCTTTTGTAGACCAGGCTGGCCTTCGAACTGATGGAGATCCGCCTATCTCTGCCTGCCAAGTACTGGATTAAAGGCATGCACCAGCACCACCTGGCATATTCTGGTTTCTTTTATCTTACTTTATTTATTATTCTTTAGATTCTTATTTGTTTTCAAAAGAGAGAAATAAAGGTATTGGATCTAGAAGAGAAAGTAGGGAGTAGTTGAGGAAGGAAATGGTAATCTGAATATAGCCTATGAAAATTTTCATTTTCAATAAAAGAAAAGTGTTTAAATTAAATTTAAAACTTTACTTTAAAAAGGGGATACATCCAGTAACTGAGGATATACCTCGATAACAGGGAGTATAGAACAAAAATAAATTATGCCAAATCCAATGGAGCACAAAATAGAAAAAAAAATAATACAAAGTACAAAAAAGAGACAGTAATGAACACACTTTTCCAGCAGTAGCTTTAAATATAAATACCCTTGACTCACCAATCAAAAGACACAGGCTATTTGAATAAAGAAAAAAATCCATCTTTGAGTTGTTTACAAGAAACTCCATTCATCTTCACAGCTTAGAGGGAAAGGAGAGAAAAAGTATCACAAAAAAATAGGAACAGGGATTAAGCAAGTGTTGCTGTCCTAACATCTAACAAAACATATTTCAAACTAATATTCAGAAGATAAAAAGAAGGTGACACCATTCTGATCAAGAGAACAATTAATCAAGAAGACTTTAGAGTCCTACATATATATGCACCAAATTCCTAAGCATTCAATTGTATTGAAAACAAAACAAACAAAAAATGAAAGTATTACTGAATTTCAAAACACAGTAATAATAATATGTGACTGTTTTCAGTAGCTCACCTCCAATAGAAAGGTAATTTGAACAAAAATCACAGAGAAACATTGGAATTATATGACATCAGACATCAAATGGACCTAGCAGGCATCTATCAATTATCCTACCCAAACACTGAAGAATATATATTCTACTCAGTAACCCATGGAACTCTCTCTAAAACAGATCACATGGCAGCATACAAAACAAGGCTCAACAAATACTAAAATGATTGAAATACCTCTGTACATTCTATATGGCCACAATGCAATAAAGATTAAATCAACAACAAAAGAAACTCAAATAAAAACAAACTAATAGAAATTATATAGCACAATACTAGGTCAAAGAAGACATCAGTAAAGAAGGTTTTTTAGTTCTCCTGAAACTAAACAAAAATAGCAAAACTCTGAGGAATATTAAAAGCAGTACTAAGGGAGACATTTATTCTTGTAGGCACACACATGTACACATAATAAATACATAAACAAACAAATACACAAATGGAGCCAAAGAATGGCTCCTGGCTTTGACCAAGGACCTATTGCACAACATTTTTCAATTTATGGCTTTTCATAGTGAAAAAGTATTTCAGAATGCATGATTTAGGACCTCATATGTTACATCACATAAGGAGGACCTTGTGGGGAGACTTATAGAAACTTAGATGTGGACAAACAAGGGTCTGAATAGATAGTAGCAGAGAGGTATAAAGAATGAGAATATGAAGAGAAATTTAAAAGGCATAACCAAGAATAATTATCAATGAATTGGATTTGGGGTCCACAGCAAAGAGTCAAGAACAATATCACATTTTAATATCCAAGTGAGTGAATATTGGTACCATAAATGGAAACAGAAAAAAAGTTTCCTTAGCAGATGTCTTTAAAGAGTGCCCTAATGACAGATTTGGCAGATATCACATAGTGAATACTCAGAAACATCTACAGAATAAAATGAAAAAACAAATTATAATTTAATGAAACAGAATTCTGAAACCAACAAGAACAGAATGAAAAGATAAGTGATGATAACCAGAAAGCATCATACATCTCTTTGTGGCTTGGGGGAATGAACAGGCTATTTGGTGTTGTGTTTCTCTCTCTCTCTCTCTCTCTCTCTCTCTCTCTCTCTCTCTCTCTC